CCCTGAAGCCCCCCGCTGATCCCGCCGGCATCCCAGCATCCCATCCCAACATCCCGTCCCAGCATCCCACCCCAACATCCCGTCCCAGCATCCCATCCACATGGTCCTGCTTGCTTTAGGGGGGCTGCGGGGAGATGGGGAGGAAAAGCCCACTCGTGGGCAGGGCAAGAAAGAGAAGGAATGGTGTTTTTAAGGTTGCAACCTGAAAAACCCAAGCTGGAGGCCTGACCATTTTATCTCGGCAAGGTGGGGTTTTGTTTGGTGTGTAGCAACACGGGACTGTGGAGGCGGGAGGCTCTGCCTGCCCCTGATTTCGTGTTTGCTTTGGGTGAACTGCTGCTCTCGGGCTCTGTGGAATTGGGCAACCTGCTTTGGGACTGATGCCTTTTCTCCAAAGCAGAAATTCAGTTCTTCCCTGTTTCTTGCACAAAGCCACCAGACACCCAGAAGGGACGTGAATCCGTTAGTGCTGCCCACCTGTGGGACAGGCTGGGGATGCCTGCATGTGACAGGGACATCGCTGCAGGGCTGGAGAGCAGATCCCAGCGCACTCTGAGGGCAACTGCCGTACATGATGGTGGAGAACAAGATGCTTCTCAAAGCTGCCAGATGATGCTTGGAGGGGTGGATTGATTCACCTGATAAAAGCAGTCCTGAATGCCACGGTGCAGGAGTTTGAAGGCTTCCTCTCCTGGCTCCTGCAGGAGCAGGGTTCAAGCGGCATGCTGTTCCCTTTGCTAGGCAAAGTCAGAAATGGTGACTGATTGTCACAGTCTGGGTTCTAACCCCACCTGCCATTGCTGGCTCCAAGGGCAGGTGCAGGGAAGGAGCTTCTGCTCCCAGTCCTCCTTGTCCAAGAGTGGCTGATTTGGAAGGGCTCGACCTCCAAATAATTAGACAGAGCCCAGGGAATTACTTTCCCAACTACAAATCCATGGGTGGTTCAGTCCTGGGGCACCCTGTGTGAGAGAGGGCTTTTCTGTCTGTGTTTCCCTTTCTGTCATCTCTCCTGTGACTTGGGACACGACCCTGCCCTGACTGGGGACATTTGATTTTTTTTCTAAAGAGATCATTGACTCCTAGATAAAGATTAATTTTCATTTTAATTTTTAACTTCAATCTCTTTGGTGAAAATGTTTTTATAGACCATTTCAGATGCCGTTATCGCTGCCCAGCTTTGCCCTTTCACGGGTTGCTTCACCCAGCAGGTAACAGGTAACCTTTCCTCCTGCTGGGCAGGCAGAGTGGGCTGGTTGCTTCCTCGATCCCTTCTCTTTGGGAACCATAAAGACATTTTTAGTGTCAGATGACATCTCTCTGCCTCTTGCTTTTGGTAATTCTTACAGTGTGAGATGATGCTGCTCCTACACCATGTCCTGCCAACCTCCTTTCTGCACGGAGCCCAAGAGACCTCCCAGAATGACCACAGTGAAAGGGCAGGAGTGGAGACAGCCCCGGGGAGCGAGACTCTGGGCAAAACGGCCACATTCACAGCGCAGCCCTGGGCCAGGCTCCAGAGCTGTCCCAGGGCACAGCCCTGCCCTACGCTCCTCAAAGCCCCAGGGACAAGTCATTGTCCATGCAAGGACACAAAGGTGCACATCATGCCCCCCAGTCTCCTGCCCTTAGCGCAGATGCTGCTGCGGGTAGCACCGTGGGGCTGGGATGGATGGACGGTTCCCAGGTGGTGCGCGGTTTGAGAGAGGACTGGGTATGAGCTGAGATCACACCCTTCCTGGCTGGGAGAGTCCAGGTGTGAATGCGTGTTGTGTCCAGTGTCAGCGTGAACCGTGCTGCACCTTGCAACAGTCCCAGCACGTCCTCGAGGCTGACACCATCTCATGTCAGTATGGAGCAGTACAAAATCCTGGTGATCTAAGAGGGCTCCAAAAAAAAAAAAAGATACCAAATGCTGTTTTCCTACCTATGGGACCATTGCATTGCTTGTGAGATGGGGGTAATTTTAGAAAAGTGTTGTGTGTTTCTACTGATGTCTCCGACAGGTCTCACTCTGCTAGGTGCTGCCAGAAAACAGCAGATCTTTCACAAAGACTTCCACATTAATATTGATTCACTAATCCAGCTCTCCAAGAGATGATTTTTATATTCCTTTTGTTTTGTGTAGACTGCAAGTGGTAGCAGTTACCACTGGCTGGGGAGCAGGAAGAAATGCCCCTCACTGAAAGACCCACTGAGGGCAGAGGGAGGCACGAGACTGAATTATGACTTTGGAGTCTCCAGCAGTGAATTCGTTTTTAATTAGCTTCTGATGGGGAAAAAACCAAGAGGAGGTCAGCGGCTCTGCATTCTGTTGAGCTTTCCGTCCTGCAGCCCGCAGTAAGGAGGAGCAAGAACTGCAGAAGTGCCTCGTTGGGTATTTTACACCGAGCTGGTGAATCCTTCAAGCCAGGCTGTACCTGGCACAGGGAGTATCTTTCTGTCTGCACACTGTATAGGTCTTTAGGACAGCCCAGATTCAGAGTGTCCATAAATAGGAAGAGCGCAGAGATAAGCAGCAGAGCTCCCAGCCTGCAGAGGCAACACACGGGTCCTGGGTTTTCTGCCTGTGAAGATTGCCCAGCTCTGCTTCCCTTCACGGGGAGAAAATGCTTCGCTGCAAGGACACGAGGAGGTGGAAGCGGAGGGAAGATGCTACCCACCCAGCTCCACACACAGCCTGGCGCAGGGCTCTTCGCCTGCAGGACCCGCTTCCCCCTCCCTGTGCGGTGGGATGAGCAGGGCTGGGGTCCTGGCTGCAGCTGAGACAGAGGGGCAGAACTACAACGGCTGGTCTGCCCTGGAGGGTTACTTTGGGATCAACTTCTGTAAGGTGAAGAGCTAGCAGGCAGAAAGTAAAGAGCTGTCTGTGTTCAGAGAAGAGATTGGATGAAGAGGATGGAGGAGCGGGATGAAGAGGAAACCTTAAGAGAAATGTCATGATCGCTGACTAATAATAATGCAGATACAGGACTCCCCGGTGCTGTGAAATTATTGCAGGCAGCAGGATCTGAGCAGGCTTTGGAAATGGAGCAAAGCTGCCCCGCGGCACGGGGCAGGAGCCTGCACCTCTGCGAGCTGTGCTTAGACTTTGCCTGTTGCAGACATAAATCCCAGTTTTTGTGGAGAGCTGGGGGTGGAGGGGGAGATTGTGCAAAGTGCAGCAAAAACCTTGACATCGTTTGCTCTGAATAAATATAACGGGCTAATGCAAGCATTGCAATAAAGGTGTCTCCAGAAGGCAAACTCCCCCAAAACATGGCTGCCCTTGCGCCCCTCTTCATCTGCGCGGTGTGTGCGTTGCTTTTATCAGCTGCACTCTATGTTTTAAAAGTTTTTAAACAATCAGCTTTAAATTTGCCTCCTGGGCCGTTTCCTCTTCCAATCATTGGTAACCTGCATTTGCTGGACCTCAGAAGGCAAGACAAGTCACTGATGAAGGTAAGAACGAGCATCCTTTGCTTCTAGGGTGCTGAATGTCAGCGTGTACCTATTTAAAGGTCTCCTCTGGTGATCTTGGGATAAATGTACCTTTAGCCTTGTGCTTCCTGAACGTGTAAGACAGATCTTTCTTCCCTGAACAATCTTCTTCCATTGTCTCTTTACTTCTGGACAGGCTTTGCAAACTGCTTAGACCACATTCTCCGAGGTGTTTAAAGAGGGTGGAGTATGCAGTATTTATTTAGGTACTCTACAAACCTTCATAAGAATCGAGTGCTTGTAGCGATCGCAGAGAGCAAACAGAAAGCCAGCTGGCAGAGACTGAACAGTGCCACCGCATTTTTATTGCTTCTAACCCCCGCCCCCCCCCCCAAAAAAAACCAGATTATTACTAAAAAAATGTCTTTTTAAATTTCATTTGTCTGTGATCCTGCATTAATCTGTCTGCTGTGTGCAGCGGTATTATTAGCTGTGCTCTATTTTTCAACTGGCTATAAAAATTCAGCTTTTAAATTACCT